AACAAGTTGGTATTCCAGATTTCTAACCTCTAGAATATCCAGTTTCTTCAACACAGAGAGATAGAGGGATTTTTACTAACCAAGGAAAATATTTATTTTCCTTTTTTTTTTTCCTTCTGGGGGAAAAATATTTTCATTTTCACCCTCATTAATTTTTATGGTTGGTAACATATTAGCCAAAAAAGCATCTAGACTAAATAAAGTATAAGACCCAAAGCTGCTTGAAATGTCTTCCCGGCCAGGAAGATACCACAAGCAGTTCAGGGAAGTTTCTGGCCTGGGGGAAAAGAAATGGAAAGCCAGCCAGGACTGCGTTCTGCTCTTTTCTCTCATAAGAGTTTGGAAGTAGAGTCACAGTTTATTTAATGCACTCTTCTTGTTTCTTGTAACCATGGCGTCTGGTTTAGTTGAGCGTTTCCTATGTCAGGGCACTGCTGAGCCAATATTTATCATTCTAGAAATTTCCATGAGTCATAAAATAAACCCGCAAGCCTCTGTACCTTCTATGGGCGTTTCTTCCCTAGGGTGGTTTAAAATAAAAGGAGAAATACTGAACCTAGAATGTAGTACGTGGCGTTTATCAGAATGCGTTAGTACTCTGTCCTGCAAGGACACTTCTCTAACTTGGTAAAAGCCAGTCAAGGTGTGCCCTTACTACTCTGCAGTCCTGAACCCTCCCCAAAGGGCAAGGTCTGGGCTGAGAAAGGAAGTGTTAGGGGTTGGTAGGGAGGAAGTGACTCACTGGCTCGAGGGGTGGGAGGGGTGGTTTCCACAGGATCAAGAAGGAAAATGAACAAGTGATTACTTCCATCTCCAGCATGGAAAATATTACAAAGGGACCACCTCTTAATAACCAGGCCTGAATTCACTGACCCCCCTCTTGCCTCCTCAAAAAAAAAAAAAGAAAGAAAGAAAGAAAAGGGCAGGTAAACACAATCCCAGGTTCATGGCCTGGTGTGTTCCAGTGTACACGCAGGATCCTGGCTGGCTGACTGAGGCTTGGGGTGGATTATGGTGTGTTGTCTGTCTCCATGTCTGTCTGTCTCTCTGTCTCTTCCAAGTCTCACTTGCTCATGGAAGAAATAAACAAAATTTAAAAAGAAATAGAAAGGGGACCAGCAGTTAGCGTAATGGCTATGTCGCTGGATTCCCATGTAGTCAACTGCAGTTCAAGTTCTGGACCCGGTGGCTTAAACTCACGCCAGGTGCGTGTGCCTGCATGCCCAAGATCCTGAGAGGAGAATGGAGGAGAAGGGATTGTGGCGTGGCCATCCCACTGGGGAGTGATTTCTCGCTTTCTGTCTCTCTTGTCTTTCTGGCGACCGTACGCGCCCTATAGCAAAAACCTCTCCCCCCCCCAAAAAAAAAATAGAAAGAAGAGCAGGACTGATGGCAAGATGTGATCCAGCTGTCTCCTTCTGGGTGAGCATAATGCTGTTTGCTCCCTTCATGCTGATTGGCTCCCTTGCCCCTAATGTGGACATCAGAGATGGCCCCAGTAGTCTACAATCTGGACAACTATAGCACCTTACTGACTTTACCATTAAAAAACAGGCTGTGTCTACAGCCTGAAGGCTAGAGCTTAAAAATCAAAATTCAAAGGCCCGCCTTGATATTACTAAAATTCGGTATTCCACAAATTACTAAGACTGTGCCATGCACTCAGTAAGTCTTCTGTAGTGTATAGGCATCACAGTTTAGAGCTCACGGGGTAAAATTTAGTGACGTCTTCATTTCACAGGTGAGGACAAAGAGGTCCATAGAGGTGTATCTTGCAGTCACATGGCCAATCGACGGCAGGGCTAAGCAAGACTAGAACTTGTGATGTGCAGAAGCGAGAATCTTGGGCTGGCTCCATGACTTGGTGGTTAGGACCAGTATGGCTGATCCCATCATTCAAGTCCCAGAGCCAGCAGCTTGAGAAACACACCGAGTACATGTGCGTGCTTGCCCAAAATCCTAAAAGGAGGAAGAAGTGGAGAAGGGGTTTCCGTGCGACTATTCCCCATAGGGCAATTCTTTCTCCTCTCCATCTCTCTATCATGAGAGAGAGAGGAAAAGAGAGGAAAGAAAAATGAAATCTTGTAGGTCTGAAGACAGAAACACTGACGTCTTAGTGTTAAGGGCACAGTACACGAGATGGCACTCCGATTTCCTATCGCAGCCATTGCCCTGCAGCTGTCTGTTTCTGGCAGAGCTGTGCTTGGAAAGAATTAAGTCCTCTCATGAAGAACAGCTGGGTTCCTTTGGCTGAACCATCGCTTGGCATCCCTTCCCTCCTCTGCCAGAGGGGAAACGAGAAAGTAGGCCAGCACAGCCCCCAACTCCACCTATTCACACTCTGTCTATCTCATGTATCTTGGTTAATGGAGTCTAGCTGTTGGATGGGAACATTGGTGTCCCTCCAAATGTCAAGCACTGGAGAAATCTCAAGTCATCCTTTTGCACTCATGTTCACCGATGTGTGAGAAATCATGTCAGTAGGAAGCACTCACTTCCTTCCTCTATGGAGGCCTCACTCAGGAAAGATCCAGTAAAATACACCTGGTGTGTTCAGCTCCACAAGTTAGAACCCTGGGAATTCCCAAGGGAACGTGGGCCTAGGTTCTCTTGGCATTTACTTTTTTGGTTGTTGTTTAAGAATTATTTTGTTACTATTAAAAAATATTCTGTAGGCATGTGCACTCACTAGAGAAAGAGAGAGAGAGAAGGAAAATGAGAAAACAAGCCACCAGGTCTGGGACTCAAATGGTGGTCGGCCATGTAGGACCCCAGTGCCTTAATCGCTATGCCACCTGCTAGCCTGTCAGTTAGTGTTTTTCACTAGTGATCTCCCTGTGGCAAGGCTCATGACTTCTTTGTCTTCATACTCCTGGTAGCCAACAACTGGCAGTAAACCTCAGTAAACATCTATCAGATCTAACTGAAAACTTCTGAGTGGCATTCCAATTCAAATGTACACAAGTTACTTGTTTTGCCTCGAAACACAAACTTTTACTTTTTAAACACTTAGCTTTGGGGCCGGCAGGCGGTGAGATGGTTAAGGGCACTGTACTCCCACGTGGCTGACCATGGTTCAAGTTCTGGACCTGGCAGAACTTTTTTTTTTTTCTTAAGAACTTTTCGCTATAGGGCGTGTGTGCTTGCCAGACAGTCAGAGAGAGACAGAGAGACAGAAAGCGAGAAATCACCCCCCAGGGGGGATGGCCACACTGCAATCCCTTCTCCTCCTTTCTCCTTTTGGGATCTTGGGCACGTACGCACATGCGCCTGGCGTGAGTTTTAAGCCACTGGATCCGGGATGCGAACTGTGGTCTACATGGGAGTCCAGCAACATAGCCATTACGCTAACTGCTGGTCCCAAGAAAATAATCCTTTAAAAAGACCAGGCTGTGGGCTGGCAGGTGGCATAGTGGTTAAGGGCACTGGACTCCTACACGGCTGGCTGCGGTTCGAGTCCCAGACCTGGTGGCTTGCTTTCTCACTTTCCCTCTCTCTCTGTCTCACTTGCTCACTTTGTCCCTCTCTAGTTAAATTAAAATGAATAAAATTAAATAAAATAATTACTTTTGTTAAAAAAAGATCAGGCTGCTTGGACTCCTACTTGGTTAGTATGCATGATGAATCTCAAAAAGTTTGTGGAAAAATGGAATTAAAGTATGAGTTTATTTTGGTGCAAGAAAAATTTTAAATCCATTGCATAGTTTTTTTTTTAAAATAACATACAGTTCCACTAACTTTTTGAAGACCCCCCCACCCATATTAAATTGAATCACTAGAAAGTCCTGTGTTTGTAGGTCAAAGATAGTTTACTTAATATTGTCAATAGGGGGACCAGCAGTTGGCATAATGGCTATGTTGCTAGACTCCCATGTAGTCAACTGAGATTCGAGTCCCAGACCCAGCGGCTTAAACTCAGGCTGGGCACATGCATGCCCAGGATCCTGAAAGGAGAATGGAGGAGAAGGGATGATTGCGGTGGGGGGTGGGGGGAATGATTTCTAGCTTTCTGTCTCTCTGTCTCTGTCTTTTTGGTGAGTGCATGTGCCCTATAGCAAAACATCTCCAAAAAAATATATCTATATCACTTAATATACTCTAATTTACTTTTTTCATTAATTCACCCTGATCTTTTTCCATGGTCTATAAGGCCCACATGGTCATATTTCCAGGTTTCTTTCAGCCTTACCTGGGCCTACTCAGCTAGACAATCTGCAGCCATAGCCTTCCTTCTGTTCTTTAAACCACACCTAGCTTAATTCTTCCATCTCGGATGCCCTCCTCTCAGATCTTCACACGGCTGAGTTCTTCTCGGACACTGAATTTTCCGTGTAAATCCCCTGCCTTTAGAGCAGACTTCTCTCAGCACCTATTTAAATAATGCCCTCGGGACCAGCAGTTAGCATAATGGCTATGTCGCTGGACTCCCACATAGTCGACCATGGTTCGCGTCCTGGACCCGGTGACAAAACTCACGCCGGGTGCGTGTGCGTGCGTGCCCAAGATCCTGAGAGGAGAACAAAGGAAAAGGGATTGCGGCATGGCCATCCTCCCTGGGGGGTGATTTCTCGCTTTCTGTCTCTCTGTCTCTGTCTGTCTGGTGAGCGCACGCGCCCTATAGCAAAAACCTCTCCAAAAAAAAAATCATAAAATAAAACAAACAAATAAATAAATAAATAATGTCCTCTCCATTCCCTGTGGTCCTCTGTCATTTCGCTCAGTTTTATCATCAGTGAAGTACCTATCGCTCACAACCTGGTCATTTTTTTGCTTAGTGTCTTGTCGGCCTCTGGTAGACTGGAATTCAAAGTCTAGGACAACAGTAATCTTGTCTGTCTTACTCATGGGTCTGAACACAGCAGGCACACTGCAGGCCAAAATAAATATTGAAGCAATTAATTCAGTAGTTAATTCTTTAAAAGCAGCAGAATCGAAGCCTAGTCATTATTTCTCCAAATATTTATTGTTCATTTTACTAATTTCACTATCTGGGAGTTCTTTTACACAGATGGGGTCTAGTTTTCCTCCACCTACTGCGCCTCCAGCGTTTCTCTCACTGTTTGCATCTCTTACCCTTCATCATACCTCTGAGTTAATTCCTTGACTGAATCTTTCAACTCATACCCTTGTTTTTTGGATATGCCATGTTTCCCAGCCCAGCCACTGAATTTTTTCAGTTCTGCAATAATATTTTGTATTCCCAATCTCCAATTTTTCCTTAACTGTTTGTTGTTGTTTCTGGCTTCCCGATTTCTGTTTCTCTCTCTTAAGAATATTGACTATGCTCACTCAAATTTCTTGTCCTGCTTCTTTTTGCTTGAGTTCATTTGATTTCCTTCTTTCATAGTGCTTGAATTCCTCCTTGAATTCCTTGTCCCATTTTCTTTACCTGTAAACTCACAACTACAAGGGGTCTTCAAGAAGTTCTCCAAAATGCATATTATGCAAAACTATGCTTGGATTTCAAAGCTTCTTGCACCCAAGTAAACTTGTTCTTTATCTTCATTTTCCCACGAACTTTTTGAGGTCGTCTTGTCTCCTTAGGATTTTCCTCCACCAGGGCTTTACCTGTGGGAGGGGTAAGAACTTGTTCTCTTCCTGGAACTTTTGGGAGGAGACAGGTGGGAAATTCACTGATACTGTCATCTGGGTTCAACCCCTCACCCTAACTGGAAACCCTGTGCTTTATAGATGTCTTCCCATTCCTCTCTCTGTTTTGTTCCAGGATATAATCCTTGAGTTTTCAGAGGAAGGGGAGGTGAGAGAAAGTCCTGGGGCCCGGGCAGCCACTCCCATGAGTTAGTATCACTCCCCACAGCCTGGCAGGGCCCCACTGGTGCCTTGATATTACCTGAGAGCTTCTGGGATGGGCACTTTGCTGATTGTGAGGTTTTCCTACCCTACAGGAGAGGTGGAGAGGCCGAAGTCCAAAGAGAATAGTGGCACAGGGTGGGGACCAACCTGAGAGATCGCCACCACCAGCCTGTTGCCGTCTGCGACTACCGTCATTTTCCTTGCCTTCTTACCTACCAGGTAGAGAAATCCTGTTTTTCCTAAAGTACTTCTGAGCTTTAAGAAGGGTCCTTTCCTTTTCAAGTTAAAATGTGCTGCAAAAGTTCTATTTACCTCATTCCCACCTTTCATGATTTTATGGCCTATAATTACACCCAACCCTTGGGTTTCTTTACTTGCTGAAGAATTCAAACTTATGTAGTCTATCCTCAACCCATGCACTTGATTCCCTTATTTGTCCCTTTCTGAATCTTTTGTGGCTCTTCCCTTCCCCCTCCCACCCCCCAGGACAGTAACCAGATCAGGAGGATAGAAGGAATGTACCACGTCTATGAAAACCAAGAAAACAACATGGATAGGCCCTCAGGATATCCTGTTGAATGAATGAATGAATGAATGAATGAATATAAGATGCCATGCTATTTATTGCTGGGAACATTCGTTATTTTTATTTATTTATTTATTTTTGAGAGGTTTTTGCTATAGGGTGTGCGCACTCACCAGAAAGAGACAGAGAGACAGAAAGCAAGAAATCACCCCCAAGGGGGGGATGGCCATGCTGCAATCCCTTCTCCTCCATTCTCCTCTCAGGATCTTGGGCACACATGCACATGCACACACACACACCAACACACACACATGCCCAGCATGAGTGTAAGCCACCGGGTCTGGGACCTGAACCACAGTTGACTAAACAGAGTCCAGTGACATAGCCATTATACCAACTGCTGGTCCCAACATTTTATTGTTTGTTTGTTTGTTTGTTTTTGCTATAGGGCGTGTGCACTCGCCAGACAGAGAGAGGCAGAGAGACAGAAAGCAAGAAATCACCCCCCAGGGGGGATGGCCACACCGCAATCCCTTCTCCTCCATTCTCCTCTCAGGATCTTGGGCACACACGCACACGCACCCGGCTTGAGTTTAAGCCAACAGGTCCGGGACTCGAACCGGGGTCAACTACATGGGAGTCTAGCGACATAGTTACGTTAACTGCTGGTCCCCCAACATTTGTATTTTTAAAAATGCTCTATATTGTGACGGTTTGGAAGGTTTTGTGCTAAACTGATAAACAGCGTGTTACGAACTCCAGTCTAGGTGTGTGCATGTGTGTGGGTGAGGAACATGCCATTCATTCATCCCTATGCTGAGTTTCCTTTTTTGAACATTTTCCCGAAACTCTTCTGAAATATCTAGGTAAATCGTTGGGTTTCAGGGCAGTCCACGAGCTCCCTGAGATTACAGGTCAAGCTTCGTAAGTAAGAACAAATGTCTACCTTTCTGGAGAGAGGGTTTATATTTTTCATTAGACTCTCAAAGGGAGCATATGGCCCACGGTCCAGATTGTTGTAGCATTTTCTACTTCATTTTCCTGGCTCAATCCAACAGGTACAGGATTACCTGAAGAAGAAGCATCTATAATTATACAATTGTCAGCATTCTAAAGTAGTGGTATGTGACTTTTCCTTAATGACTATAGGAAGATCAATAATATTACCACACAGTACTGTATCAGTCCTGCCGGTACACTTATATTACTTAGCCTTTTCATAAAGTAGATGCCAGGGTCCTTGGCGCTGCTTGGTCCATCAGGACCAGGCTAGGAGTAGTAACTAAAGGAATGTCTGAAATGTGTTTTTCTAGAGCTTCCCTTGTTTCATTTAGCCAGTAAAAAGAAGCAGCACAACACACCTCAGCTTACTTGTTCAGCCTCAGCCCTGAGAAATGTGACGTGGAGCCTGATGGTAAAGCTAAAGGCCTTGGGAGCAGATTGCCTGTACCGTAGAGATCCCAGGAAACATTTCTTCACATTACCTCATTTGTAAAATGAGACAATAATATCTCTTGGTATCCATTTTTTTCTTTAGAAAAAAAAAAAGGAACCCCAGTTTCTTATCTGAGCACATGGCTATCAGAGAACAGACCACATTTCCCAGCGTCCCTTGCAGTAAATAAGTTCTGGTCAATGAGATAAAAAAGACAGAACCCCTGTATGATACTTCTCAGAAGTTTTTTTGAAAGGGGAAGGGTGAACTTTTTAATCTTCTTTTCTTCCTTCTTATTGCCTAAAGCTTAAAAGTAATGGTTGGTACCCTCGCAGCCATCTCGAACCATGAGGTGATCGGGACAGGAACCCATGCACAACAAAGGAGCAGTGGAGACTGGGTCTCGAGCACCAACCACCATGTCGATCTGAACTGTTCACCTCTGCACTCCTTTCACATTGAAGCCACTGTTTTGTAAGTCTGTTACTGATAGTCAGATACAACCCATATCAAAATACTACTATTGATTCTGAGTGCTCACTGAAGAGAGAGACAGAG